CCTTTGTTTTTGTTCTTGGATTAACTGGGTCCTACGGTTGCAGATACGTTACAGTAACAGATGCAGTTCTTCCAGAAGCACTTGCCCTACAGGAAGGCCGTCAGGTAGGAGAAGCGTACATGGAAGTCTCTCATCTCAGCCTCTGTGCATTCTTTATGGGTGAAGCCTTACACAACGATGAAGTAGGGCAGGGAAACCAATGTTCTGCCACCGAGTCACTTTTTCTCGGCAGCATGCTGACCCGCCACCAGCTCTGTCAGCTTTTGTTTTTTCTTTTAATCCCATTATCATCATACTGGAGCACAGAGGTAGCTCACAAAATTTATAAGCACTTGCATATTACAATACATTTTAAAAGCAACTTGAACACTGGAAAAGGGATCTTACTGTAGAAAGCTAAAATGTATCAGTTCAGTTTCATTTGTCCCGAACCTCTGCAGCCTCGTTGCTACTAGTTTCACAGGTCATAAAAGAAAATTATGGGAGATGCTGTGCGTGAAAGGTAGATGGCAAATTCATTGGGGATAATACTTAAATACGCTGGTCCTGGCAGGAAAAGGATGAGTTACTGTCAAGGAATCCTGGGAAGACCGGCTCTCCCGGAGCTGCGGTACCTTTCCATGTATTTTCACTGCGGACAGCACTCCCATGAAGTCATAGTTTGACATGCATTTAAAGCCTGCCCTACCACTGACAGATGCAATTGCTGCCAAGGACTGTGCAGTGGGTTTTGCATGATAGAAGTATTGTTTACATTGGAAACGAATTCTTTGGGATATGTGGAGTTAGTAATTCAGATACAACAACTGAAAGGCCTGGCTGGCCAAATTTAATTCTTTTATCAAGCATTTTCTATAAACACAATGAAAATACACTCCTTCTGCTGTATTTAAGAAATAATTAAAAATAACTTATGCCTTCGAAAGTTTTAGCTACAAAGTTTAAAGCATGCTAGATACTAACGAACAAAAGCACTCACCCAAGGACCTTACAGAACAACTCTTTTCCATTATTTCCCAAGTGTGTATTTATGTGGTGTTTTCATTGCACTTCTAATTCAGGGGAGTTGCAATCATTCTACACAGAATCCCAAGTCACTATGGCTGTAAACTTACAGCAACATAATGCACGTCTCCACCAAGCTGAATGTGAGCTCTTCAAAACTGGGTCTGTCTTTTCTCCTTTTTATGAAAAGAGGTCCGGCCATGGGGTTAGGAGTATGCATTTGCTTGTCACAGATGCAGTTTTTCTGAAAGTAGAAGTGAGATGTTGACCATTTGATGGTTGAGCACAGGTTGAAAGCAGAAATAAAGTCTGCTTGTTTAGATCCTGTACTCCGTAACTTTGACTAATATGTGAGAGAGGGTCTGGGTTTGTCTGGGTTTTAAATTTTTTTTTTTTTTCCTTTTGAAAGAGGTCTCGTGTTCTCTAAACGTGAAGTTGTCATTACAAATTAATTTTTGGAATAAGATTATGACATCTACAGAAATAATTGAAGTGGGGACTAAGCTTATTATGTTTGCTCGTCTTTTTTTTTTTTTCAAGAACATACGCAGTGTATTTAATTTTCCTGCATTGTATTGAAAAAGAATAAAAAATAGATTAAAAAATCATAGCGATGAAAAGGACTCGCAAATTACACACCTCATGCTCTCTTGCCAGAATGTTTAATGCTTAACTGCTGTGTTGTATCTAAGTTATTGTTACGTTAGACAAAGCAAATGAACACACACACACGCCATCCAATTGTCCTTTTATATTTTTATTCGGTGTTAAGTAACTCCACAAGAAAACAAAATCAGTTACTCTGGTGTACGTGAAATCAGAACAATACAACCACTTGAAGCAAAAAGTAGAAACAAATTTCAGCCCAGGAATGGAAAACTGATACTTCAGTGCTATGGATATGCAATGCGCTTCATACCACAGTCCGGTTCAGCGTATGCCAACCTTTAATGCTTTTGTTGTTGTTGTTTGTTGTTGTTGTGTGTTTCTATCCATACAGAAAAACTAAAAACCACACTTCAACTCTCACCGAAAGCTTTAGAGCTTTAGCCATTAAACTATGAAAACAAGTAAAGACAATTTGTTATTGCCCAAGCTCAAGATACGATTTTATCTTCCCCAAAGGTGCTGGAATTATTACATGCCATAATGTAACTACAAGCAACACCTTTGCTGGTTTTGAGCCCTTTCTTACCAAAGAAGCAGCTCTAGCCAAAATTAACTGAGCTGAAGTTTGTGTTTGAAATATGTCCATTTGGTCATTTCTTGTTCTCGATTGAAGTTCTATTCCATTCTTCACTGTAGTGATTTGAAGAATTTGTGTGTAAAATTCTTTTTTACTTTCATGTTACAGTTAACTAGTTCTCAGTGCAGGTGCTAAACAACCTCTCAAGGAAGCTCCAGAAGAAAGTAAAATATATAAAAATCTATCCAAAGTCTGCAAATAAATTAAGAAACTGTAAAGTGTCAAAAGATTTGTTGTATGAATACAAACCCTAAAACATAGTCTAAGAGGAGGACCAAAAGAAAGCCCCTGGGTAAGGACAAACCAAGCCAATTTTAAGTAAGGATCTCAACGGAAGCGTTGCACAAAGAATGGCATGGTTTTCCAACCACGTATTTCACTTCTTACGTTGTCAATTGAATAAAGGCAACAAAACCCAGCTACTCAGAAAACCCCCTAGCACAGAACATATTTCAAAGGCAGTTCAGCTCACATTTCAAACAGCTATAGTTCTCATGAGGTTTATTGCCTGTCAAAATTAATGGGTAAGCTTTTCAAGTCAGTATTGGACTTTCTGCACTTCCCGATGTTGTAGACATGCTGCTATTGTATAGACTAGTTAGTTGTTGTTGTTTTTAAACTGTGAGTTGGTAAAAACTTAGAACGTTTCATTTTGCAAATATTGCTCCTCCTGGCTTATACGTTTTGCATAATGTGTTAAAAGCACAAGGAGTTGATAGTCTTGTACAGATGCAACTTGACAATGTATTGACTTTCTAAGTTAACAAAATAAAATTTAAAAGCAAGTCACATAAAGCAACAGTCACTACTGCAATCACACATGTATGTTGTAAGTCATCACTTTCCCTCCCCCCCCCACCACACACATAACTTGCCCCACACATTCTCTCAGAAACACAAAATGAACTACGAGATTTACTAAATTACAGCCACAACAGCAGCTAACTGCAGCAGCCACAGGATTTCTTTCAAGTGAAGCACTGACCCTTTGCATTTAAAACATTGAACGCTCTGAGCATTTTAGATAGTTTCAGACATTCAGGCTCAAGTTCAGTACAGGATGCTTTTGCAGATTACATCAATGCCATCATCTGCAACAAGACAACGTTCTCATTACTCGTTACAAAATTCACAACAATCCACACATCGCCCCAGTGGTTTATTATTTTTGGTGTTACTTTTTAAACATCTGCCCCACATTGGCAAGTTGCTAAAAAGGACAAAAAAAAAAAGAAAAAAAGAAAAAAAAACCCCACATTGCCTCCATACCTACAAAAAATCCTTGGCTTCTCCAGTTAGCAAAAATACAAACCATGGTATCCTCAGTGTTGGTTTGCGGGAGGGGGGAATCATAGGATAGAAAACACAGTTTCTGTAAGTCTCTAAAGCACAACCCTGTCGTTCCTACTTCAAAGTTACGAGATTTACCGAATGAAGACTGGACAAGTCATTCATGCTTTTCTCCTGCATTCAGAAAGGCACTGATAGATTACAGTGTTAAGTATTTATCTCCCAGTTCTTAAAGAACAAAGCCTAATGTGCAGAAAGCTGAAGTCGCTGAATAGCAGAAGTAGTTGTAGACACTGCGATGCTAAGAAGATAGTAATAGTGGTAGGGCTACAGTTACGAATGAAAATAACTGCAATTAAGATGCAAAAAAGCAGTGGTACTACTAAGACAAGCACATGCACATCCATTCTTGATTTGACAACACAATCTAGTCTAGTTCAAATAGCCAAGAATTTAACAGGGTGTTTTTTTTTTTTTTGGGGGTTTTTTTGTGGGGGGGGGGGGGGAATCTTCAACAGGACAGCTGTGTCCTCATCTATAAAATAAGCAAGAAGAGAAAGATAAATACACATCTGAATCCATTAACTGAAGAGGAAACTCAAGTTGTTGTTTTAGAGCTACAGACCCTCAAGAAGGATAGTTTTCCATCTCATGTTACTTTTCAATCATCTGTTCTACTCTGCAGTTTTTATAGTTGAGTTCGAGAAAAAAGCTCCTCCTCACACGGATCAGCCCATTCACTTCCACCTTCTGAAGCTGTGTCTTCAGAGCTGGAGCTATCACTGGAGTAGATCTTCTTCCTGAAGCCATTTGGTTTTGCCTCAGCATTTATATCATCTGCACATCTCGCTTCATAAACAGAAGAAACCTAAGGATTTAAACTGACAGTGTTGATGGGGAACAATAAAAATCACGCTTGCTTTTTTCTGAGCTGGGAGGTTATATAGTTTTGTAGTTGTTCAAGAGAGATGTCACGGTTACAGGGCAAGTCCTCCACTTCCCTGACTTAGTCCACTACATAGAAAGGACTGCAGAACAGCAGGAAAAAAAGGTGAGGCCTTTACTATTTTTTCCTATTCCTTCATTTTAGGATTTGCACAAAACAGCAAGAGAATTAAAAGTGAACTCTGTCAGAATGCATGTTAGAAAATTACGGTAAAAGTTATCTCCAAAATTTGGTAGTAAGTATTAAATATCAAGAAAACACAGCACAGATCTGACTAAACTTCAAGCAAAACCAATGTATTTTCAGCTGAATCAGTAAAGCTGTAGCAAGCCTGTCACAGTGTAAATTTAGGTGCTATCATCACTATAAAGTTTAACAGTGTATCAGTAAGTGGACATGTACACAAAGATCTTCCCTACAGCAAAAAAATCAGGTATTTGTTTGTAAGCAGGACAGAATTCAGCATACATTATGTTCAGGCCTTTAGATACCGGTCCTTTCTGCCTTCATAGTGCACGTCAGCCCACTCTGTGCTTACTGAAATTAGAAGTCGAGGAGAAAGAGACTAGTGTTTAACCCACAAGACAAGCCAAAGCCAAGTGTTCCCAAAGGAAACCGAGTTTGCTTAACTACTAGAAGTACAGCTCTTTGTACAAAGGGCTGTACTCCCCAAAGTACAACACTGAGGAGTTTTCAGACGCATGCTCAAGACGCAGAAGAGATTAAAACACAAAGTAAGGAAAGAAAAGCTTTTGAAGGTTTTCATAGGAATTTCATTTGAGGCCAGACTGCGATGAAAGGAAAGACGCGGTGGCACACCCTTATAAAATAAACAAAGAAACTCCTCCCCCAAACCAATGACACACTTACCATATTAAAATCTAAAAGATGTTCATCATCATTGGATATTTCCTTTACATCTGCAAATTCTCCTACACCATTCTCTCCCTTGGCATCTGTATAACACTCTTACATTGTGTTTGTGGGGGTGTTTGAGAGGAAAAAGGAAGAAAAAACAGAATTGAGGAACACTGTTATTTACATTTAGCCAAAATGAAAGCATCTAGAGAAGTATTCTTGAAATTCACACTCTAAGCCATGTAAATCTGTGCTTGTGGGGATTTTTATAGTTTTGACATCCTTAAAGAGAGAAGCATAATAGCTTATGGAAGCTTCATCAAATCTTACCTGGATAACCAAAAAAAAAAAAAAAAAAGAAGCTACTTAGTTAATGAAAACATCTAAAATAGTAAGGTACAAAGAGCAATAATTACTTTTTTATTATAGATGGTTCAGTACATTTTTCAATTCTGATAACCACATGGTGTTTTAGATCATTCCTATTTCTATACCCATACAAAATATACTGCAACAGCAGCCTGGTTCTGACTGAAGCTCAAAAAAAAACCCCAAAAAACAGCTGACGTGAATGGCTGTGATTTCTACTTACCAGAGTAAACCTCCATATATAATATCAACATATTTCATATCGATATATATCGATCACATGCATCAATATCCTATATTAAAAATACCCATAAGAAAACTGGATACAGCTAAAGATTTGTGAAAAAATAGCATTAGCTCTGAGGATAAAGCTCTAGCTTTGTTAAGCTTAGTCTAAAAGAGGAAATCCTGGAACTATTCTACTTCACAGAAATTCTGCCACTGTACCAAGCAGGTTCTGGGCTCCATAGTATTTTTTACTGTATATTCTGTCTTCCGCTGATGAAATAAGGTGGTGAACCACTGAGAGAGTTACGCAGGTTCACCAGCAGATGTCAGCAAAAAGACGTCACAATTCACTCACAGGGATTCAAGGATTACTCTGTGTAAAATACATACTCAAGAGTGTGAGCCACTACATTTGCTAGTACACCAATAATACCTCTGCAGTTATCACTGTGGGGGGAAAAAAACCCACTTCACAAAAAGACACTAAATATCTCTACTTTGTAAATACTGAGGTTTAGTCTAATATGGGAGGCAAACCAAAGTCCCATAGGCATTGATCTATTCTCTTTCACTGTGCAAACACATTTCTATAGTTGGGAGTGGAGTAAGTTAAAATGTTCTTGAAAGTAACCCAAACTGTCCTAAACACCAAAGTAAGGGCATTTAGGCACTAAGAACACCGTTTAGTTGGTTGTGCTTTAAGGTGCACTCCAAAAATAGTTCAGTAATAATTACTGGCTAATCTATTTCCAGATTATTAAGGAACCAGGTCTCTGACCAAAAGTTTCTTGCACTGAGCCTCTACCAACAGAAAGCATCAGATAGCCTGTCAATTCGGTATACAGAATGTTCTTATTGAGCTTCTTGCCTTCGCCCCAGAAAAGGTAAACTGGTATGCAGGCAAAAAAAAAAGCTGTCTGGATTCTTGCCTGTCCACTGAAGAGCTGGGCTTGGGCCAGCTGTCAGATGCTACGAATACTTGGGAGGCAAGAGAGAGTGCTGGAAGCACACCTGCTTCCGCTTGCGAGCAGCCTGCCTACCAAGACCGGACTTACTCTCCATGTGGGACAGAAAAACTCCCAGACTGGCACCGTGAAAGGAGTGGCCAAGAGGCAAATCCCTCTCCTTCCCAGCTTGAGAGAAATTCCACACATTCACTGAATAACTGGCATGTTATCTATGCAAACCCATAAAAGGCAATTATCATGTTTCCACATTCTTATAAAATTAGCTACCTATTAAGTATTCTTCAGGTTGAAACATACTCAAAAATGTAATAAAGTATTTTCAGAGTCAGAGATTAATATTCTATTTACTTAATTCCAGGCTCTAGAATTAAGTAAATCTGCATAAATGTGAAGACTATTTTAAAAGCACTTTCATTTAAAAACTATTTAGAAGCATGCTAGAGATCTATTACAAATGTAACTGAAGCATCCCAGTTCTCTCTCAGAAAAGAGAGTTTATTGTGGAAGTTTACTGTTTGTTGTTGGTTTTTTTTTTTTTTAAATAGAGCTATAGGAGGTCCAATTCATCTGCAACAATTCAAGTCCTTGAGAAAGAGCATTTCATTCTAACACAGGTGCAACATCAAGTTAGTTCAAACAGGCAGAGCTTCTTACCTTCACACTGTGATGCAGGAAAAAGGGGAGAATAGAGCGCCTTTTCCCACCAGCATTGCTTTTCCTGGCTGCCACTCACTCTCTGCAGATTAGTATTCAATATAGGAAAGTGTTTAGACAATAATCACGCTTCATTATGCCATAAATAATATACTTACATGTAAAGGAGGAAACTCGTATTACAGCCAATTTGCTAGGTCTTATAGGTCACACGGTTCAATTTCTAATACTAATGGGAAAGGACTGTCAAACTACAACAGAACATCCGTTATCCGAACGCTTATACTCAAGATGAGCTCCACGCAGGGGCTCATGCTTTGCTGATACAGAGTTGTACAAATCCAGAACAAAAAGATGAATTCCAGCCCTACACTATATAATCTAAGTACAAAACAAGAGAGAACAGATAGCTACCCAAGAGATGAAAATACAGCAGAACAACGTTAGTCAACATGACAAATAATTCAGTGTAAAACAAAACAGAAAAGAAAGCAAACAAAAAGCTGCAAAATTCAATGTTTTAAGTCTGGAAGGGTGAATTAGCAGTACCATTACCATCAATGGGATAACATAAAATTAAACTAGAGAATTAATGTGTCAACATGAGGAAAAACTGCTTGTGAGGATGATTAATAATTTGTCTTTATGCTAAAAATAATCTCAATCTACTCACTAAAAATGCCTAAATACTCCCCCCCCCCAATATTTTAATGCTAATTTAAATTTACCAGAGCTCTTTCCTTGTAAAATTAATTGACATGGCTAAAATACCAAAGGCTTGTCACAACAGACATGTCCCTAGTTTTATGGCTGCATTTGTGGTAACCCCGTTAACCTTCAAAAGATGATGCCTGCTTTTAACAGCCCCTGTTAAAATATTACATCAAATGATTCAAAAACAAACTATAGTGCAACTAGCTACTAAAAACCATTAACAAATGAGCATCAACACTGAGTTTCTATCCAGCTTCCTCCTCTGTAAACCTGAGAACATTTAAGCACAGAAAATTAATGAGCGTCCTTTTGTTCCTCTTTTGTAGAACTACAAACCTATAGAACCTAAACTTACAAATGCTTATTATTTAATAAAGAGAAGTCCCTCTCAAACCAAATCAGCAGCTCAGGAGTGCTGTATTCAGAAGTGTCTACCAGATTAAACTTTTTTCCTCACAAAATTCTGCTATAATGAATATTGAAATTATCCATGCTGGTTTCCTCTCATAACACCGAGGGATAGTCCTGTTGGAACCACCCTCCAAAAGCTTAAACCCCAACTCCAGAAAAGGGAGTTCTTAGAAAGTTAAACCATGGTTTAAAAAAAGGGAAGGGGGGGGGGGGGGAAGCAAGCTCAAGGGTATTTAAAGCAGGACTTCATAAGAAATATGTGCATTTACAAATAAATTCAATCACAGAAGCCTCACTCTGCTGCTGACTACAGATAGAGGCATCTGAACGCCACAGACACTGCTTTATTAACTTCAAAGTTTCCCACATGGCTGGTGTCACACCTGCACTCGTATCTGCACACATGATAAGCTGGATGATCCACAGTGGGTTAACAAGCAAAGCCAGCTTGAGGCTGGCAGGGTGTAACAAGCTACAGCGGTCTTGCTTCCTGGGCTAAGTCACCGTCAGAGCCTACGTATCTGCTTCAGGATGGCTCAGTGACTGAACTGATGCTGGCTGCAGGCTGCCTCAGCTCCCGTGTCCTTCCATCACCTCCTCGATACCAGAAGAGTTAGAGAAAGCCAGAGACATCTTCTGGCTGCATGCAGAAGCAGCCCAGCAGGGCTTCCGTCTGAGCTCAGACCTAGCCCTCTTGCCCCCACACTGACCCTCGTGGAATGACGCATGTTATTTCTAAACCAGCATTAAGGTCAGCTGTGTAAAGCAAAAGGAGGGATGTGAAGACCCGCTATCCACGCTAAAGCCATTTGAGGGTTTTGTTTGGGAGGCGATAGGGGACACGAGCTGACATCCACTTTATACATTCACTGAAGAAAACTATTTTCTCCTACAGTTGCTTAGATGTTTACTACAATTGTGCAGTGTGACATCATGAAAGTGTCTGACAATTAAAGAAGTACCCTTAATTGGCAAATAAGAAATACCAGCTCCAGAACAGTCCCACGAGTCTACCTTCCTTTTCTTTCCCTTTTAAAACTGCATTTTCAATTTATGCCACCTCCTCCTCTCACACATACTCACACGCACTTCCAGTATTTTATGAAGTTTTAATAAATTTCCCAGCTACCCATCTAAATAGCTATTATTCTCAATTGTACTAGTATTAGAAATTGCAAGTGGAAGTCTTTCCTCTCTGAAACTATTCACATTAATTTTACTTTATTCCTAAGTACAGCTCAAAGACAACAAGCAAAACCAACTGCAATGCTGTTTCACTCCCAGTCTTGCTGCAGGTCTGAGAGAAGACTGATGGTTTCCTTTCTCGTTTTACAGCTAGGTACACGGTAACTGAGGCTTCTCTTAGAGCTTCTGGTTGAGGATACGTAAAATCACTTGAGGGCTTTAGCATTCACTAGCACAAACACTATGGTAATGTTATAGTTACGAAAGATTCTCCTCCCCCCAAATCCTAGCGGATTTCAGTCACAACCGTCTACAAATTTTCAGCAGATTTGGGTCAGAATTGTGCAGCTACACGCAAAAACTAAAGCTTCGATTCTGCTTCTGTCCCCCTCTCATCTGTCCCCTACTGAGAGGTAAGCCAACAGCAGAAAAAAAAAAATCATTTTAATGTTTGCTATTGTTTCTGTAAGAGTTTGAAAGAGTAAAATAGTTTCAAAACTTTATATAGCATTTATATGTTTTTCATTGGCATCTAGCTCACACCTGTTCCTTCCAACATCATTTCATGTCTGTTTTTCTCAAAGGAACCTTCCTAAGAACTTCGTACCACAGCAGGGCTGTCCACTTAGGTCTTTTATCCAAAATCTCAACTGAAACCTCTGGTATACAAAAGAACCACCATTCTTTGCAAACATTAGTACAAATACTTTCTAAAGGAATAAAAGCAAGTATTAGGTGTTTTTCAGCTAAAAACTCCAGTGCTGCTTCGAAGATCAAATTACAGTGAAACGACTCCGTAATCTAGCTGGAGTAAAGTAGCTAACATAAAGAAGAGATTTTGTGAGCTTAACTGGATAACGACTATTTTAAACAGCGTATTTGATCTCCAGCATCACCATGGAATAGCAATTTGATGTTTTGTTAAGGATACAACTGAAAAAAAAGGGAAAACAAGCGGAGAAGTGAAAGATTGTTTCCTGCACCACGAATGCCATTTCCTACAGCTGATGAGATTTTTCCTCACCTCTTCCACTCACACACGTATTTGAAATAAAGCAGCCAAGGAAGATTACTGTTCTACAGAGTTTTGTTGTATTGCTGCTTTCTTTGCAAGACTGCTATGGACAGCAATACGTAATTCATTAGCTGATGAAGCTGTACTGCGAGAATGCGGCAGACAGAACACCGTATTATATTGATCTGGGAAAAGGACAAGCTGCTTTGGTGAACACACTCCAGACTGCGGAGCTGGGCCTACCAAACCGAATGCCCAGGAGGAGGATTTTACTCTTTTGCTCGTTTGGCTTGTGTAAACTGTTCTGTACTCACTACGGCAAGGGACGTATCCAACACCACAGTTTTCAACTGTGACCAGGAGGCAGCCTGATAAACAACACATTTAAGTGGTACTGTTGGTTTGCCGACATAAGATAAAATTTAACTGTAGTTTCTGTACGACAGGATACTAAGCCAACTTTTAGGAATATCTTTCCCAGGCAGGTGAGGAAACAGTGACTAATAAAGTTGGGAAAGACCAGGTCTAGAAGTATGAAAGCAGAATTCAAGAAAAAAAGACCCATTCATATGATAAAAATGATAAACCTGGTACTGTCAATCTACAATAGGAGGTTTTATTACCTGAATGATAAATGCGCAGATGGAAAAGCCAAGGAACAAAAGGTAGGAGAAATTTGGAGGGGAGAGGGGGGTGGCATTTCTTCCCCCTCTCCTTATCTATACAGATGTATTAAAAGGGAAGTTCATGATGATAAATTAAAAAAACTTCAAACCCCAAAATATTTATTTTATTTCTATTTTGTTATATACATATTAAAATATTTCTCCTCAGGTAAGAGCTTGATTGCTCGTACAAGTAGCTCATTAAGAAATTATTTTATTCTTTCTTCTTGGCAGAAAATAACAGGTAGTTTTATTTTGCAACCTCAAATAAATTTCTTAGAGAGCATTTATGAATATGCAACGCTTTTTTTTTCTCCACCAAGAACTGGTATAGGATGTGCTTAACAACTTAAATCTTATTTTATCAACAATCTGCATAGGGGGAAATATTAGTACGATTTTTTTTGCTACTCCTTAATTAACAATTTTGTATGAGGTAGCAATCATTTTTGTTGATTCCCTTGCTTCCATCACAACTTTTCCCTCCAGTTACAGACACAAGTCCACAGCAAGTTCATATGGCAGATTAGTCACTTGCTAGTTAGCAAAGTTACACTGGTCAGAACTCTATTCTTCAAGCAAAATTTATGCAAAGCATCTTCTCAGAGCTGGGGTCTACAGTTTAAGGACCATCTGCCTGAAGGTTTTGAAAAAAGGGCACTTCCAGTATTTTATGAAAAGTTTTAATAAATTTTCCAGCTAGCCATCTAAATAGCTATTATTTTCATCTAAATTGATATGCCATTCAGGATAGACTACTTGGGCTTCAGATACTAATTTGAAAACACCATCATTGAATACTTCTACACTTTCAGAATGCATGCTGACAAGGATCAAGGCAGCGACAAGAGTTTTGCAGAATCTGAACACAATAAACACTAAAGTCTCATTATGATCTGAATATTATCTGAAGTGTTACAACTGAAAGTTTCATGACCAACCACAGAAAAAGTGTCATATTAATCTGTAAGTAGAAGTTTCCTCAGACCTGCTCTGCAACCCGTTACTATCAGAAAGAATACAAGAAACACATGAATCATTTAGAAGTCAAAGCAGCAATGAACCCATTGAGTCCCATTCCAAAAGACTGGA